GGTACCTGGAGCCTGAGAGTACTCGACCGTTTGTTTGGGAGAAAATCCCTTCTGTATGGGTACCTGCACAAATAAGCATCTCTACATATTCCAAATGCCAACACAACCAAGGGATGGTCAGTTCCCGATTTACATAGAATCCCTGGGTCTGACCATCATAGATACATCATCATACATATATATGCCTTGTGTTTCCAATGTGCCAGGATCATATGTGCAGGGTTAACGTCTTGTACCAAGTAACCGAGTTTCGGTTGGTGCTGGTTGTACAGTAGCGTGAGGCCCAGCCTTGTGAGGGCTGTGACTGACTCGAGATTGCCAGTCTGTTATAAATTTTTTGGCTCATGATTTTATGAGTGAGGCTAGCATGGCCTGGGTGTCATCTGAGTTGGTGTTGCTGGGCCTCCGTTGATGTATGGAGGAGTTTGAATAACTCTGCTTTCCTTGCTGTGGCAGGGTAGGGGATTTGTCGCCTCCTTAGGTCGGAGCCACATCTCCTCTGCTTGAAGGTGTATCACTTCTAGCCAGGGTGCCAGGAAGAGGTGATTCTTCACCATCTTTTTGAGAAATACTTAAATAACAATAAAGATTGCAATTATTATTTGTACCCAGGAGTCTTGTACTGGCTTGCTAGCTAAGCCGTAAGGCGAAACGATTAGGCTTGGTGGTTTTTTTTTTTTTTTTGGTGACTGGTGAGGCCCTGCTAGTTGCCAAGTGGCTTGAGAGGCTCTATCTATGCTTGGCGCGAGGGGATTTTTTTCTTTTTTTTTCTTTTTATTTTTTTTGTGGCCACCGAACATTGTGGCAGGATGTTGGCCTCTCGGTGACAGTAACCAGAAAATAGGAAGGGGAGTGACAGGTGAGGCCCTCTCTATGATACAATGCGAGGCGGCTAGCTCACGAGTGGCCCGAGGGGTGTATGCCTCCGAGTGTGAGGCGGGGTGTTGGCCTCGCGGGACCACTAACTGAAGCGTAAAGCAGAGAAAACAGGGGGTAATACCTATTGGGCCATAGAACCCTAATTGCCAGTACATTACTACTATTCCAGGGAAGGTAAGAGATGAAGGTGTATCACTTCTAGCCGGGGTGCTAGGAAGAGGTGATTCTTACCATCTTTTGAGAAATACTTAAATAACAATAAAGATTGCAATTATATATTTGTACCCAGGGGTCTTGTACCAGCTTGCTAGCTAAGCCGTAAGGCGAAACGATTAGGCTTGGTGTTTTTGGTGACTGGTGAGGCCCTGCTAGTTGCCAAGTGGCTTGAGAGGCTCTATCTATGCTTGGCGCGAGGGGATTTTGTGTGGCCACCGAACGTTGTGGCAGGATGTTGGCCTCTCGGTGACAGTAACCAGAAAAATAGGAAGATGAGGCCCTCTCTATGATACAATGCGAGGCGGCTAGCTCACGAGTGGCCCGAGGGGTGTATGCCTCCGAGTGTGAGGCGGGTGTTGGCCTCGCGGGACCACTAACCGAAGCATAATGCAGAGAAAAAGGGGGTAATACCTATTGGGCCCTAGAACCCTAATTGCCGGTACACTATTACTATTCCAGGGAAGGTAAGAGATGGATAACTACGTGAGCAGGTGTATGTACCTGGTAGTATGGTATTGAACCTGACAATCCGTATAGGTTTTTTAGTAGTAACTGTAACCTGAATGGATAAAACCGTATGGCATAAGGAAATATGGCATAGACCAAGCTTATCTTAAAACATACAGTGTATGTGAAAGTAAAGTGCCGTGATATGTAAATATTAAACATCATATCCATACTGGTTAAATATGTATCAAACTTAACCCATTAAGTGCCGTATGTATGTGAACCATATTACCAGTTACATATATACAGATGCGTGTGCTACTGTGTAATAATATGTGTATTTATAACAGATATTGATATACTGCTTGCTATGTGAATTGTTGTATGCCATATTGAATGGCAAGTGAACATGGAGTTGCAAAATGCAAGTGCACTGGAGATCTGCTGAGTGCCCTATAGGTGGCAGTGTAGTTGATACTGATTGGTATGTGAAATGTTGTTTGTCTGTTGACCTATAGGGGTCAGTATTTTGGTGTTTGTAA